ACGAGCACCTATGTCACTTGGATCTGGTGCTCATAGCTGCCACAGCACGACCACAACCCATGACCATCAACAGACACTTTTTTTTTTTAAACAATGAGTTTATTTTTTATTTTATGTATTTATTTATTTATTTTTGGCTGCATTGGGTTGTAGTTGCGGCATGTGGGATCTTTCATTGCAGCACACCGGCTTCTCTCTCTAGTTGTGGCATGCGGGCTCTCTAGCTGTAGCTTGTGTGCTCAGTAGTTGTGGTGCGTGGGCTTAGCTGTCCTGCGGTATGTGGGATCTTAGTTCCCTGACCAAGGATTGAACCCGCATCCCCTGTGTTGGAAGGCGAATTCTTAACCCCTGGACCACCAGGGAAGTCCCCAACATACACTTTTATGACTAACACTGGTCAGGCCCCAGAGAGGCTTCCCTACATCCTTTGCCCTATGTCTTCAAAATCCAAGGCGACAGCGGCTGGATGCTGTGAAGATCTGTGGGTTCTTCAGATATAAGCACATTTGGGGGAAACAATTAAAAGGGGTGGTAGCCCCATGACAGTAGTAGAAACCAGCACAGTAGCAGACCAGCCAGGAGTTTAACAGAGAGAACCCAGGGAAAGAGACAGCCAAGAAGAGTCTTCCCAGGATCCCACTCACCCCTGGGGCGTCCAGAAGGTGGGTGCGTGTGCTAGGCTGCACCCATGCAGGAGCAGTCAGAGCAGGATACAGAGCAGATTTGAGAGCACTCTCTGCACCACACAGATCCATCAGCAAAGAGCAGGAGCCCTACCGGCTCAAGGGACTGAAGCACAAATTCTGACCAAATGCCGGCTGAACAGTGAGCTGCTGTGCCCCAGGGTGACTCCTGAGATTCGCACCCAAATAAAATCACACTCGTCCTCGGTGGTCTGGAAGACTGTGCAGGTGCCCAAGGCTGCACCCCCTCAGAGGGGATGGACATGGGGCAAAACTGTGAACTCCCAAACTGTGAAAGCTGTCTCCTAGCTACACACCTACATCCAATAGTTGAGAAATAAAAATATAACTGGTTAAGGGGGCTTAAGCACAACTTTTGACCAATAAGTGGCTATGCTGACCTGGGGTGATCTGTAGGAAATCAGGTTAAAAGATTTTTTTTTTAATTTTTTAAGAAAAAGAAAAATCTGAGCAGAGACATCAGCAGATGCATCTCTACACACAAACCGGGAAGCTGACTTCACAGAATCAGTTAAGAATTAAACAAATAAACCAGTGTCCAGGGGCTTCCCTGGTGGCGCAGTGGTTGAGAGTCTGCCTGCCGATGCAGGGGACACGGGTTCGTGCCCCGGTCCGGGAAGATCCCACATGCTGCAGAGCGGCTGGGCCCGTGAGCCATGGCCGCTGAGCCTGCGCGTCCGGAGCCTGTGCTCCGCAATGGGAGAGGCCACAACAGTGAGAGGCCCGCGTACCGCAAATAAAATAAAATAAAATAAAAATAAACCAGTGTCCAAACAAACAACAGTTACAACAATAAGGCTCAGAGCAGGAGGAGATTCAGTATATAGTGTTGCCACAATATATCATCTAAAATGTCCAATTTTCAACAACAGCAAAAAAACTTTAAGACATGCAAAGAATCAGGAATGTGTGATTCACACACATGGAAAAAAAATGAGGCAATATAAACTGCTTTTGAAGAGGTCCAAAAGTTGAACACATTTGAGAAAGACTTCAAAGCAGCAGTTATAAGTATGTGTTAATAACCAAAGGAAGGGCTTCCCTGGTGGCGCAGTGGTTGAGAGTCCGCCTGCCGATGCAGGGGACACAGTCGTGCCCCAGTCTGGGAAGATCCCACATGCCGCGGAGTGGCTGGGCCCGTGAGCCATGGCCGCTGAGCCTGCGCGTCCGGAGCCTGTGCTCGGCAACCGGAGAGGCCACAACAGTCAGAGGCCTGCATACCCCAAGGAAAAAAAAAAAAAAAAGGGTGGGATTGCTGACAAGATTAGGGTGTGTGCAGGGCCTCAGGTGGTCGTCTTTCTCCTAATCTTGATGAGCTTCTCTGTCCCTTTAATCTCACCTCAGGTGCTTTCCTGGCTGCTCCTCCCTTGATTAGCAACTGTTCGAATCTGCCCTTTCAGCGAAGGTCATGGAGGCTGGAGTCTTGCCTACAAGAAATGGGGGACAAAAAGGCCTCCATGCCTGGGAGCCCCACAGGGCCCTGGTAGGCATCAATCTTTCAAAAATCAAGGTTGGGGCTTCCCTGGTGGCGCAGTGGTTAGGGGTCCGCCTGCCGATGCCGGGGACGCGGGTTTGTGCCCCGGTCCGGGAGGATCCCACGTGCCGCGGAGCGGCTGGGCCCGTGAGCCATGGCCGCTGAGCCTGCGCGTCCGGAGCCTGTGCTCCGCAACGGGAGAGGCCACAGCAGTGAGAGGCCCGCGTACCGAAAAAAAAAAAAAAATCAAGGTTGACAGCTATGGTCTTAACAGGAATGCGTCTTTCTCTGTGGACAAAGTTACCTTTGTTACCTATGCTTTATTTTTTTTTAAAAAAGGTCCACTGGGCTGGGGCTTCCCTGGTGGCGCAGTGGTTGAGAATCCGCCCCCCAATGCAGGAGACACGGGTTCAAGACCTTGTCCGGGAAGATCCCACATGCCGCGGAGCAACTAAGCCCATGCACCACGACTACTGAGCCTGCGCTCTAGAGCCCTCGAGCCACAACTACTGAGCCTGCGCTCTAGAGCCCGCCACTTCAGCCTGCGCTCTTCAGCCACAACTACTGAAGCCCACGTGCCTAGAGCCCGTGCTCCACAACGAGACAATCCACCGCAATGAGAAGCCCGCGCACCGCAACGAAGAGTAGCCCCCGTTCGTCGCAACTAGAGAAAGCCCGCGCGCAGCAACAAAGACCCAACACAGCCAAAAATAATAAATAAGTAATAAAATAAATAAATTTATTTTAAAAAAAAGCTCCACTGAATCATACAGATATGAGATGACAGGACTAGTTCACACAAACTCATTCTTAGACTCACAATTGGGAATGTAGCAGATGCTAGGAGCCACAAAGGTGCAAACATGGAGAGCTGGGGGTGAGCAGTTCATTTCTGCCCTTGGCAACCAGTTCCACCTCCCCAAACTCCGTGCCACCACTAAAGGTTCTTTATTGGTCAGGGTAAGTTTCCAGACCCATGGCCAACAAGTGCAGCTTAGTTTTGGGTAGTGGATGGTGAGGGCTCTTCCCTCGTCTCTCCTGGAGACTGGTTTGATGTCCACTTGAGACACAAAGATAGATACTAGATATGCTTCTCAAGTCCCTACAGCCTTCAGCCTTCATCCAAAGTCATCTCTGTCTCTAGGAATCAGCATCGAGAGAACATTAAGGAAAGGTCTCCAGAGTTGCTGCAAAAGGCTACGTCCCAGGCACCCACTACTGGAAGCAGGACAACCACCCACGTGGAGTCAGTGAGGGGACCAGCATGCGGGACACACCGCCCGAGGCCACAGCCAACACAGCTGGAGAGGGCAGAGGAGCAGAGGCTGGCAAGGCCAGTGCCAAAGGAGCCAGGCAGAGCACCAGCACAGCCAGGATGGCAGCAACAGAGACATAGGCGAGCAAGGACGCCGTGGGGGACACACTGCCCCTGAGAGCTCAAGTCGAGGGGGTGGCCTCTGGCTGGACGGAGGCGCCGTCGCTGAACAGTCAGGACCCGAGGACGACCAAAGGGTCAGGGGACCAGAGCGCGAGGCCGACGGCCAAAAGGATGGTGCCCACGAAGCTGCAGGGCAACGCAGCCGCCACAGCAAGGACACCCCTTCCAGAAAATCAGGCTGGGGTGCAGACCCCTGCAGGAGCGGGGCCAACGGGAAAGGAGTCAGAGGAACCACCAGAGAGACTGTCCCACCCAAGGACAGAACCCAGGCCACCTGTGTCCTCAGCCCCTCTCCAGAGCCCCACCACCCAGAGAGGCCAGAGATTGCGGGCCGCCAACTTCAAGTCTGAGCCGCACTGAGATTTTGAGGAAAATACAGCCTGGAGGTGAGCGGCCTCCAGACGGGGAGTTTTTCCTGCCCCCCACCTCCCCGAGGCCCCACCTTCCCTTCCCTCCCAGGCTCCCATCCTAAGCTCTGCCTCGGCCCACCCATGCTCTCCCCCAACACTGCTCTCATCCCATCCTTCCTTGTTATAATGGCCAGAAGCAGGGCAGGGAAGGCAGGTCCCAGGCTGTGAGCGAGAAGGCCCTGTCCTGGGCCCCTAGGAGCCCAGAGCGTCATCAGTCCCAGTGAGAGAGTGTGACCTGCACTGGAATCCTGTCCTGCAGCAGGGGGAGGGGCAGGAACCAGCAGGGACTAAGGGACAAGAATACCCGGGCCAGCCCTGTCCTCCTACGGCCCTTAGGGAAACAGCCGGGGCCCACAGCGCTGGGAAGGGAGCCTTCAGAGCATGGATGTTCACACACATCACGGCAACCACGCACAGCCCTTGGACCCACAGCATGTTCACAGACTGGTCCACTCCTCTCACACATAGGAAGGTACATTTGCCTTGAGGGCTGAGGACCACTGGTTCCCTGGGAGCCCTCCTGACCACAGTGGGCTGGGACGATCGATGGCGAGGGGGGCGCCAGAAGGCCCTGGGAACAGGATGAAAGGGGTAGCAGAGACCGATGCCTTCCCAGCTTTGAGGCCTGCTTTCTGCCCCTGCCCCACCCCACCCCCGCCCAACCAGCCCCTGCCCCACCCCACCCCCACCTGGCCAGCCCTTGGCCATGGCCTTCCTGGGCCTCTCCCTGCCTGACCCGTCCTCCTGCATGTAGACCTGCCCTGACTCAGTGAAGATCAAAGCCTCCAAGTCACCCCGGCTCCAGAATCTCTTTCTGCCCAACGTCACCCTCTTCCTGGACTCCAGACACTTGACCAGAGCGAGTGGGGTCGCCTGGAGCACTTCGCTCCACCCTTCGGCTTCATGGAGCTCAATTTCTGTGAGTCCTCGGCCCCGGGGGCCGGGGGTGTGTGCTAGGCCCCAGCAGAGGGCCATGCTTTTTGTGTCTGGTCCGCCTCTTCCCTGGGGGCCACCGGCCCTGGGAGAAATGCCACTGGATCCCTGGCCCTTCCAGGGCTCTGAATGGCGTCGCCTCGTTGCAGTGGTGCAGAAGGTCGTGCCCTGCTTCCCCCCACCCGGCGCCCCAGCAGCAGCTGCTCCTGGCCAGCCTCCCTGCTGGGAGCTCCAGGTGCATCACCTGTGCCGTGGTGGGCAACGGGGGCATCCTGAACAACTCCCAAGTGGGCCCAGAGATAGACGGCCATGACTAATTGTTCCGGTGAGCTCCCCTCCCCGGCCCCCTCCCACCCCCTCTCCTGCAGAGCTGGGCTCTTCTGAGAGATCTGAGAGGGTGTTCCGTGCCTGTATCTGGAAGGCGGGGTTCCTGGGCTCTCCAGAGAGTTTCTGTAAATCAGCGCCGTCTCCCGGTTTCTCCTTCCTTTCCATGCATCCCCCTTCCGCACGCACGTGTTCTGTCTGATTTTGTCTTTCCATCTAGACTGAGTGGAGCTGTCATTAAGGGCTACGAACAGGATGTGGGTACTCGGACGTCCTTCTACGGCTTTACTGCCTTCTCCCTGACCCAGTCACTCCTTATACTGGGCAATCGGGGTTTCCGGCATGTGCCTCTGGGAAAGGCGAGCAGAGAGGAATCGGCCTGGCCGCGCACACCGCAATGAAGAGTAGCCCCCACTCGCCGCACCTAGAGAAAGCCCGTGTGCAGCAATGAAGACCCAACACACCCAAAAATAAATAAATAAAAATTTTAGAAATATAAAAATAAAAGTCCTGTACACCTGAAACTAACACAGCGTTGTAAATCAACTGTACTTAAATTTTTTTAATGCTAAAAATAAATAATGAATTGCAAAAAAATATATAAAGGTGTTTTTTTGGGGGGGGGAGCGGGTGGTCCCAGAACATTTTTCTTAATGTTCTAATAGAATCTCCATGAAAGGACTCATAACCATTTGGTTAAAGTTCCCCTCCCGCCCGTCCCGCCTTCTACTTCAGTGATGACACCTGGGGTGTTCAGCTTGCTCTCTGGTGTGCAGTCATCCTAAACTGGCCATCCTCTTCGGGCTGCTGAGAACTTAGCATTTCCTCAGCAAGCAGGCCAGGAGTCTAGGATCTGAGATGTGATAAGAAAACTGCTTCCACATTTGTGGACAAGGGCTGAACAAACGGCACAGCATGAGCCCCCTATGGAAACTGAGGGAGGAAGTGCCACAGTTGCTGGGGCCCCCAGATGTCAGCAGCAGCTTCACCCCAAAGACAGGGCCTAGGAACAACCCAGCTCCCTGGGGAGCTGTCCTCCAGGTCTGCCAAATTCTGAAGGCTTAAAAAAATGACCACATATTTGTTCATGATTTTATGGATCAACAACTGGGGCTGGGCTCAGCTCCCTTCTCCTGTGGTCTGGGGTCAGCCTCCAGAGGCTGCACTGCAGCTGGATGGTCCAAGATGGCCTCACACTTCTGTCTGGTTCATGCTGGTTCTCAGCTGGGAGCCTCCATCCTCCTCTGTGAGGCCTCTCATTCTCCAGGGGCCTAGCCTGAGCTCCTGGACGTGGCGGCAGACGGTTCCAAGAACACAGGAGCAGAAGCTACAAGGCCACTTGAGGCCGACTGTCAGAAGCCACACACTGTCACTTTGGCCACATTCTAGTGGCTGAAGAAAGTCCAAGGCCAGCCCAGAGTTAAGGGGTAGGGAAACAGCCTTGACCTCTTGTTGGGAGGAGTGTGTACACTCAAGGCAGTTGAGGGTGGGAGGACTTGTTGCAGCATATCCGCCAGCAACACACCTGGTGACACCAGGCTTTCATGTGTAGCACTCCTATCACACCATCGGATGCCCGGTAGCGTGGGCAGATACAGCATTTCACCAAAAAGAGCCCCATCTTTCTCGTGGTCCAGTGTCTGTCCCTGACATGTCACTTTTCAGTCTACACAGGACTAAAACAGCTAACATCTATATAGTGCTTCCTACATTTCCGGAACTGTTGAAGGCACATTTAATGAGAGTAGCAATTCTTATGAAATTGGTACTGAGATCATTCCCATGTTACAGATGAGGAACCTGAGGCATAGTGACTTAAGGAACTTGTCCCAGCTCACAGTCAGTAAACAGTGGAGCTGAGACTGTGGGCTTTGCAATCCCCCCTCTTGAGCATCCCACTCTACTGCCTTTTGAGGGTCTGCCTTGGAGGTATCTAGAGGTATCTTCTGTCTTGGCATTCCTCTCTCCTTCCTTGTCTAATCCGAGGGGGTCAAGTCCAGTGATTTGGAGGGGGATGGTGGCTGGAGCTCATATCCCTGCCCCTCTCTCTCCCCGACTGCAGCAGCCAGGGAGGCCAGCAGACAAGGCGTGGCGTGAACATCTGAGCTCCAGGGTTCACTGGGGAAGGAGGCAGTGAGGACTTGATTTGTTTTGATGAGGTGGGCGACTGTCAACAGGGACCAGCAGCAAAGAGGAGACCTTGCCTGATCTTGTGCTCTGGGGAAAGTGCAGGTACGTGAGGTTCCCCACGAGGACTCAGCCAGAGCAGACGGGAGGGTGGGGCAGGTCTGTGCAGTTCTGGGTACCAACTGAAGGCCACTGGCTAGCACTTCCCTCACCATATACCCCTGTGTACACACACATACAATTTCAATTATGTCCTCTTTTTTTGAGCCCAGCTCTCAGTGCTCTCAGGTATAAAGTCAAGTCCACGTAGGTGGTCATGTGACTTGTCACATGAGCTGAGCCTGTGTCCAACTTCGATCTTGCCACTGGAACTGTCCACTGGGGACAACACCACTGTGTCACTCCCACCAGGTATCTGCCAGAACTCCAATGGGCTTTGATCACGTACAAGAAATCCTTGTAAATTTCTGCATCACTTACAAGAAATCCATGTTTATCCCTGCATCTCCCAATTGGCCCAGGTGGAGCATCCAGGGGGCAGAAGCTTCTCCACCTGAGCTTGTGCTCTGGCTGCCGGCCGGCAGGGAGAGGACTGACTGTGCTTCAGCTCCCATGGTGGGAAGGAGACCCTTCCCTCTGTTTACTTGACAACTGCAAAATACTCAGGTGTTTGGATTCTAGATAGCTGAGTATAAGGCAGATTTCCATTACATATGAATTTTATTGTTTTCCACTCAGTATTAGCCGAATTGATTTGTGTGGTTGTTTTTAAGACTTTTTTTTTTTTTTTTTTGGCCATGCCATGCACCTTGGGGGATCTTAATTCCCTGACCAGGGATTGAACCCGGGCCCACAGCAGTGAAAGCACAGAGTTCTAACCACTGGACTGCCAGGGAATTCCCAAGACTTTATTTTCTTAGAGCAGTTTTAGGCTCACAGCAACACTGGGAGGAAGGCACAGTGATCTTCCATAGATCTGCTGCCCCTACACATGCACAGCCTCCACCATTACCAGCATCCCCACAAGAGCAGTACATTTGTTGATGAAATAGATTCGTTTTTACATTAAGAAAACTGGTTTCAGGACTTCCCTGGTGGCACTGCGGTTAAGAATCTGCCTGCCAATGCAGGGGACATGGGTTTGATCCCTGGCCCGGGAAGATCCCACATGCTGCGGAGCAACTAAGCCCATGCGCCACAGCTACTGAGCCTGTGCTCTAGAGTCCGCGAGCCACAACTACTGAGCCCACGTGCCACAACTACTGAAGCCCGCACGCCTAGAGCCCATACTCCGCAACAAGAGAAGCCACCGCAATGAGAAGCCTGCGCACTGCAACGAAGAGTAGCCCCCGCTCGCCGCAACTAGAGAAAGCCCGCACGCAGAAACGAAGACCCAATGCAGCCAAAAATAAATAAATAATTTTTTAAAAAAAGAAAAAGAAAATTGGTTTCAGATTTGCGGATTCAAAACATAATGGACACTTTTACCAATGACTGTATTTTCTACAGGTGAGCAGATTTCAATTGTGAATTCACAAAGGACCAGTTCCTGCATTTGGACCTGTGTACATGCCATAGTAATGCTCAACTAAATACAAGTATACTAAGGGGTGGCTAGTGTTAAAAGAAAACCAAAGGGAAGAAGAGGGGCTGCTCCCACCCCTGCTCCTGTGGGAATTGGCACTTTATCTCTTCAACTGAGAAATATAAACACAAAATTGAAGTCCATCTACAACCCAAGTGAGAATTTTCTAGTGCATTGCTTTATGCTGAACATTACACAGTAGGTTAGCAAATTTGAATACCACAAAGTTTACAGACTAGTAAAGCAACTTTGACACAATTTAAATTTCTCCAGGAACTCGGGCTGCACATGAAGACTTTGAAGTGTCCCCCACTACAATCATAAATTATTACTGTAAATTCTCTATGGTATTTTGATAGCTTTTATGATATTTAGAGTATAGATAAATGAGAACATATTTTATTCTGAGTTGTATATAAATTTGGATAGATAGGAAAGAATAAACACAGATCATAAGACAGAAAGGGAAAGGAAGTATGTACTTGGTGTGTATCCACTAAAACACAGACATACATTCACACCATAATCATACACCATTTCAAGGATACCTCAGTCCACGGTATTAGCTAGCATTAAGAATTTCCATGGATGGGACTTCCCTGGTGGTCCAGTGGTTAAGAATCCACCTTCCAATGCAGGGGATGCAGGTTCGATCCCTGGTCAGGAAACTAAGATCCCACATGCCACGGGGCAACTAAGCCCATGCACCGCAACTACTGAGCCCGCGTGCCGCAAACTACAGAGCCCACATGCTCTGGAACCCGCGTGGTGCAACTAGAGAGAAGCCCTTGCACCGCAACGAAGATCCTGTGTGCCGCAACTAAGACCCGACACAGCCAAAAATAAAATAAAATAAATAAATTATAAATTTTTAAAAAGAGATCTTGTTGCATAAATATATATTTTAAAAAAAAAAGAATTTCCATGGAAACAGTGTAGCAGAGGGATTAAGAGTTCAGACTCTCCTGACTTGTAAGCTGCTCATTCATAGGGTATACCTTGGGAAGCCAAAATGACAAAAAAGGTCAGGGTACTGGAGACAAGGATTTGCGCAGGAAGGAGTCAGAAATCTTCACAGAAATCTGAGTCTATTGGTGAATACTAATTTGAGCCAGTATAGTGCAAGAGTACACAAAGCCAAGCAAAGGAAAACCACCAAAGAAAGAACAACTACTAAGAATCGGGGAGCTGAATGAACCAGAGCTCACACAGCTCAAAAAGTCATGGCCAGCGACGCCAGATGGATACTCGGATCTACAAGAAGACAGCAAGAATTCTGGAAATGATAAACACGTGGGTAAATATTTCATTGCTCAATGTTTTTGAAAGATGATTGATTATTTAAAGCAAAGACAACAGTGATGAACTATAGGGTGTTTAATACATGTAGAAGTAAAATGTACAATAATATTGGTACAAAGGATGGGAAGGGGAAATGGAAGTATACGGTTTCTACATTATACGTGAAATGGCATGCTGTCATTTAAAAGTAGACTATGATAAACTAAAGATGAATATTGTAAACCTTAGAACAACCATTTTCAAAATAGCCCAAAGAAATACAGCCAATAAGGCAATAGAGGAGATAAAATAGAATAGGAAAGAAAAAAAAAGAATGAAGAATACATGAAACTAATAGAAAACATACAATGATACAGTGGGCATAAACACAATCATATCAATAATTATATTACAGATAAATGTACTAAATACTCTAAAAGACAGAGATTGACAGGCTGGACAAAAAAG